CACCGTCTTTAACGACGGTGATTTGGTGTAAGTGGAATGCAAGTTACAGGGTGCATCGCTCAGAGCTGTACTTATAGAAGGCGATTTGTAACAGTTCGTTGTATCATTGCATTGCTACCAAATTTAGATTATCTAGCACAACTCTTTCTTGGTGTTTGGATTTTTTTCCGTCAGTGTATGTTTGTTTAACTAGCACGTATGGCTATTTGCAATATAATTTACTTTAAGTTCAAGGAGCATAATATTAGAGACTTGCACTGATGTGATTACTGACAAATCTTGGCAATAAACAGGAAATATATTTGCGAGTCGGGATATCATTAATCTAATGAAACAAAGCATAGGAGAAGTTGTTGACAATATGAGAGAATCGGTGAACCATATAGAAATTGTATTGAAGAATCAGTAAATGACTGAACAAATTTGTGATTAGCAAAGAAAAGTTTATAAATCTTTGGAAACTTCTTTTCTAAAAATTCATGTTAAAGTTTTTGGATGTGAAGGATACGGAGCAGTTTGAATTTCACTGCAAAAGAATTTATTATAATTTCATAAATTTTAAAAGACATTTTCCTAAAAGAATCTCTTTCTAATGATAAGGGGCTCTCTTATTTCAAATCTTATTTTAACATAATAAAGCAACATGCACATTATGAACATAATACATAATGAAAACAGAGCTTTTTTCTCAGAATTTAGAGTTCCAATTACTTAATATGTCCACTGTAACACTAATTGAGTTATTCATGAAATAAATCGTAGTTTTGCTAGGTTTAAAAACACTAATTTCTCGTGCAACAGAAAGTGGACGCATGTTGTTCAAAACATGAAACAAGACAGAGGGTGATTTTTTTTAATATCTTTTCCTCAGTACTACTTATTAATATGTGTGCACGTCTGCAATGAATAAATTTACTTAAAAAAATGTTTTTCTTCTTCTTTTGTTTGGAAATTTTGCAATGACTGAAACTTTTTACTTTAAATCTGTTCACTTGAGAACCACATTTCACAATCATCTTTTAATATTTACTTTGTTTTCATATGGTTTAGCACTTAAACTAAATGTTTAGCCAAAACGTCATTAACTCAACTGTGTTTTTTTACGTCTATACTCTTTATTTATATCCGAGATCTGAGCTTGACAGGTTGCCCTATGACAACTGCAGCTCTGTTTTGGATACTTTACAAAACTCTCTTGGCCCCAGTTCTAAACCTGCCATGAAATGATTTATCTGTGAAGCCTTTACGTTAATAGACATACATAGTCTACAGGTTAATAAAGTCTTAAGTAAAAACCATAAAGAAGTAAAAGCAATGGATGCTCCAGAAAAATGAAGCGAGCAAACAAAGTTTTATAAACAATAGATAAATTAATATCTTTTTTCACCATTAAATGATTAATTAAATGATGTTCCAGAGAAGTTTAATGGAAAAAACTATCTAATCGATAAATAGAGTGAAAATTAAATATATTTTCATGACCAAGAGGAAATATAGCTAATTTGTAGCTAATTTCCGTTTAGGAGACTTTCCATCACTCCCTATGATTCAATGGCCATTTCCCATGACGTTCACCAACATAAACCAACATCCATGAACATCCACTCATGTTCTCTTTGCTGATATCTTGCAATAGACTCTAGGCTTATGTGGAAGAAATACAGGAAGAACTGGCACATAATTATATATATATATACGCCATACATATGATAACGCTATTTATAAGATTGCGTTATGTTTGTTCTAACATGCTGATAATATGTCCTATTACATTTTCTTGTTTTTACTACAGCTGAGTTATAAAAATATATTTTTTATAGGTCCTGCTAAAATTGTCATATACATCTAGATTCAACTTAAATGAAGTGGTTTGTATGATAATATAGTCAAGATATCGATCGATAAGAATTTAAGTAAAAACTCGCATGTATCTTACAATGAAGTAAAAAATCCATATACTGTGTCAGTGTCATAACACTGTTATAATTTTTAAAAATTACCAAAATATTTACTCCCTAAAATTCACAAAAATGCTTTTGCTAAAGAAAAATAAGCAAATAAATATAGAAGAGTCTGATTAGATAACGATAATAATGGCTTCTCTCTATTCTCTAGAAAATCTGTCTTTTTCTCGATTCTTAAATATTTAGGTTACAATTTTTAAATTTTTAATAAATGCGCGTATTTTGCAAGTACATTGGGCTGATTTTCCATTAATAAAGCAACATTCTAGACAAAAAAAATATTTAAGTTAAAATAAGCTTAATTTTACTATTTTGTTTTGCGTTAAACCAAAGAATATATATATATATATATATGTTGGGGATGTAACAATATTTACCTCCAGATTATATGGAGTTAAAATTATAATTTATATGAATACCATAACTGCATATGATATAACTATATGAAGATTGTATGGTACACTTACGTGATATACTTATATGATTACTATACTGCTATAACATTTGTATACTTACATAAAATTTGAAAGTTTACATATTTTTTGTGTAAAACTTAATAACTTTCGTCATATATCAATGCTGAAATTTCAACATTACTAACAAAGAAAGTTTTAGATACATTATCTAACTGCAGTAAGCAGTTCAAGTACAAATTACGCGTGTAGTAAAATGAAATATATGGTAGAGTCGCTTAAGGGATAAGTAACTTTAAATATGTATATTTTATTTAAAAATTATAAATTGATGGTTTTGGAATTAATGTTTTTTTTTACGATTAAAAACATCTACAGTTGTCATTATAAAGTAGCTGCGATAGTAAATAAAATTTATCTCTATTGATATTAAAATCGATGGATAGCTTACTAATTTGTTTTAATGAATTGGAGTAAATAAACTAGTTTAGAAAAAATATTTTTCAAGTAGAAATATCAGTTGAAATTGAATTTTGTAGAATGCAATAAAATATAATATGAATGATCAAATTCCCATTTATTATTCCCATTAATGAAGTGAGAAATGATTTAGAGAATTTGTTATTGTGTAAAATACAATTGTTCAGAAATTTCGTCATTTCTTCAATTGCTTAATGTTTGGTATTCAGTAAAATTGATTAAAATACATATTTTGACAAAGACACTAAATTATCAATGTGACAAAGGTATTAATGAGTATTTGAGAACGTAAGTTTAATGTTAAATACTTAATTGAAAACATATTAAAAATGTAAATGTTAATATTTGCAAATAATATTATAGTTTGAATAATCTATGTAAAAGGGTGGTGGATGAGGTATTTAATTAAAAACGTAACAATGATAAATTTATCTTTTCTCGTAGCAACAAAACATTGAACTTAACTTATAACTTGACAAATGACTTTTTTAAAAGTATTTATATTTTGAATAAATTTGCTTCATTTGAAGCAAAAAATTGCAAAAAAAAAGTTATATTTTAGAGTCATAAATATTATCTTCTATTTATAGAAAAACTACGTACACTCTTATCGACTTACCACATCCAAAAACTGCTTAAACTTCTATCGAGGCATAGACTTCTAGTTAAAGTCTATGCCTCTAGTACCCAGATGAAAGCATAATTGAAAATCCAATAAGAAGATGCGCACGCCACGCAAATAAAGTGATATAAATCAATGTTAGTATTGATTAAAGCGTCACACTTTTTCATGACATTTTTCATGCATGTTGAAAAAAATTCAATAAAAAGTACATATCTCATAAGATGTATAATAAATATGAATATCTCTTCAAGCAGAATAAAATAGACAAAAATCGAAGACTAGAAAAAAAGGAAAGTAAATGTAAATTGTAAGATGAAAACAATGTTTTATTTAAGTCTATATTTGGTATACATTAAAGTGACATTAAGAAAATTTAATCAACTTTAATTCTATGTCGATTTTTTCAAAAGAGAATACGTAAAAAAAAAACTTTATAACTACTCCTACCTATAATACTTACCGTGCCTAAAATTAAGCAAGCATATATTCACTAAAATATTCAGTGGTGATCTCCACACAAAAAATATGAATGCGTTTTAATATCAAGAAAATATGTTTTTAAATAATCTTAAATGTTCAGATTTCAAAATTTATAAGTATTGATATTTATATGAAAGCATTTTTATTTCACACTATTTTTACTGATTAGAATGATTTAAGAAATAAACAAAGATCACCAGTAAAATCGTAGGTAAAATTCTGGGAAATAATATTTTTCAATAATATTAATATCTTAATTGTTCTTAATGTAACGCCATTGTCTTAAAACTTATGGTCATTGGACGCTCCCCCTAATACTATGTTAAGTATGGTAAGTTTTGCAAAGATAAGAAAATACTAATGCTTTTATCATAAGTATTTTTTTTCTTTTTGAAAAGTGCACTAATATATATATACATAATAAAGCAACATGCACATTATGAACANAATTGTTTACTTTTAACGAAAAAGGTTTAAAAAAGTATTTCTGTAAACAAATAAATACGTGGTTTCAGATAACTTTAGGAATACTAGTTTGGTGACGTAGATCTTCCATGCTACTATATATATATTTATATATATGTGGTATATATAAATTCGTATGACATGCGGACGTTGGATTTACGGTAAATAGTATTAATTTAAGGTAAGTAATTAAGGTTTAAGTAATTTAAGGTAAATAGTATTAATTGCTAAATTTCGTGTTTTGTTTTGAATATATTTTGAAAATATTAATCCTTGTTTCGAACGTTAATATGATTTGCTGTGACAAACCTTGTACCAACAGCATAGCACTGCAGCTTTTTTAAGTATTGATTCTGATGATCATGATGACTTTTAATCTTTTGACAAAGCTGCTTCAATTAACTGCATGTCTGCAGAAAAATTAATAAATTTTAGTTTTTTTTTATATGTATTATCTTGTACCATTATCAATGTGTCCTTTAAACCATTTTGGAACACTCTTTTAACAAATGTAATTAAAATCACAATAACATTTTCGAATCTACGCTTGTATATTATGTTTATTAATCTTACCTATTATTCCTCCGTATACTTGAACAACAAGTTCTGCCATCAACGTCACAATTTTGAGAAAAATCCAGGATTTTTGTTGCAGTATTCCAAGCACAATTCTCATTTCAAATAATATTTCCGGCACACTATGACGTCAGAGGAAAAACTGATTAATCCTAAGAGTCTCCACTGAGACGTCTACTGGTTCGGAGCACACTCAATCATTTGAGACCATTCAAACTTTTTTTTTGCTATGCTAAAAGTCTTGCGCTTCGGTAGTAATTCAAAGCGGCAAAGTTTGTTTGAAAATGTTCCGGGGAAAGAGATCCTGTTTTTCCCGAGGAGAAGCACCGTCTGGCTTGGAATCCACGAGGCTTTTGGAGTGAGGAAACAGGATCGGGCGATAGGGAAGTGGGAATCCGGAGTTGGGACGAACGGAATGAGCAGGCATTCGTTGAGAATGGATCGATAAAGAGCTTTATGTACAAGAATTTAATTCTATTCGTGTTTTTTTTATGATTAATGTAGTTTTTCTTAATTATTACTGTTCAAAACAGAAAATTAACTGTATTCAATAAACTTAATATAATATGAGTAACTGTGTTACATGAAACATACGATTTTAAACAGCTAAGTTGAAAATAAAATTCGATATCATATCTTGTCAATAGATTTTTTTAACTTCAAAGTCATATGCATAGATTCTTCTATCAAAACTCTTAGTAAGTAGCTGAATATAAAATTGTTGCTTAATAACGAGTTGAACCTAGGATGATCGTACTGCAAAAATAGTTTCTGTAATTCCCATGAACTTGTTAAAGCTCTAGAAATTTCTGACCATAGTTTTATCAACTAAAAACTCTCATATTATTAAAAAAAAAATTTTGTGTAAAATAATAGTTCTTTTTTAATTGTGTCGAAATTTTTTCTGCTGGCAGAAGTTGGATTATGAAGATTAAATCGTGGAATTTTGAATCTCAGAAGAGGATGTAGTCGCAATTTTTTAAAAAGGTGAAGAAAAAATAAAAATTATAGAAAAGTGTGTATACCTTACAATTCAAAACCTTTTTTGACTATTATTAAAAGGCATGGTAAAAAAATAAAAATTCATTTTTTTACACTGAATTACGTTAAGATACACTAGATTTCTAATTGTGAGCAATGTTCAAAAACTTCGTAAAAGTAAATTAGCATGAAATGATGTAAACTTTTGATCGCTTTTCTGTGTTAAATATCGAAGCATTTATGATGAATTGTCGTCACGCTCAACTCTTAATTTGAAAGTCATGAATCCAAATGACTTTTTTATTTACAGAAAGTACGTTTTTATCCATGCTTCAGTACATTATAAGTTAATTCTATAAAATTTAATATTGGAACTTAGTACGTTTATATTTGAGCACTGCGCTAGAAAACTGCACTATCTTATTTCGTCCTTTGCACTAGAAAACTTTGCCAATAAAGAAGTCTGAATAATTAATTTAGTGATAAATAAGAAAAACAACAAACAACTTGCTATGATATTTTATAAGCATTTCATAAAACAAGGTAATATCAATCACACTATTAAATGAGCTTAACAATAACAACTAGAGGAATCCCCATTCTTTGTACAGGGTGAATATAAAAAGAAAGCAATCAATAAACCAGTACAGAACAACATTAAGCAATCCTGTACAAATCTGAAAGGTATGTACCGACGCAAAATTAAGGAAGATAAAACAATATAAATTTTTATTTATTGTTATTTTTTGTCCTTCCAGGAGCCTTTACGTAAATTAAGCAAAACATGTTTCTTGGAGATCATCAAAACAAGATAGAAATTAACTGTACTAAGCATCATTTGTCACTATGCTATTGCTCATGACTGTCAGAATTTTTCCACTATCAGGTAATTTTCTTTAGTACGTATCCCTTTCGAGCGGCTCTAAGACACTTATTTATTCAACATTTGAGTTTTTTCAATCATACATTTATTTGTGGTAGCTAACTGAAGTCGACATTCTAAAATCAAATATATTTCTTATAAGACCTTAATAAGGATTTTGGATCATGAACATTCGAATAACTGATATTGAATGTAATGTTTAAAATATTTATAATTAATGGTGGAAAAAAGTACTTTCAATTTTAATTAATTAAAATATCAATAGACTTTGCTACTACTGGGAAAAATATTTTTCTGGAACTGTGGAAGATCCGCTGGATAATTCTTATTAACTCTGCACCGATTACCATAATACCAGTAGTAGATACATTACCAAAATTAATTAAACATCATCTGCGTATGCCCATTTTCTATGGTTCACGGTTCCCCCAAACGCATTGATACTTCTTTCTCTTCTACGTTTTAGTATAGTGCTTAGCTTTTCATTTCAATTAATACATATTGCGAATATTAATTAAACATTAATGTCAATATTAATATAGTGGTTTCTTATGGTGTTCCAAAACGAATAAGCATTTTTCCTCCATTATCCTTTCTTTATAGTACTTATACAACACTTTATAATACAATACTTTAATTAATACATATACAATACTTTTTACTTCAATTAATACATATTACCAGTATTAAAGAAGCAACATTGACGTTAATCATAATATGGCCATTTTTTATCGTTCTCCTAGTTAGTATCAATTTTCCATTAATTTTGCCTTTCAATATATTAACATTTTTCTCATTTAAATTATTTATTCAATTGTTTACTTTTAACGAAAAAGGTTTAAAAAAGTATTTCTGTAAACAAATAAATACGTGGTTTCAGATAACTTTAGGAATACTAGTTTGGTGACGTAGATCTTCCATGCTACTACGTTAACGTTGCTTATAGAATTTATCTGACATAGCAGTTAATAATAAAATATTAAAGTTCATGGAATAAATTCTTATTTTTCAGATGAAATAAAGATATAAGCTATCAAATATAACTGACGTTATAATTAGATATTCGATAAAATTGAATTGTCTATAGTTTATTTTAAAAAAAAAAAATTCAACCGATCAGAAAATTTATCTCGTTTTCAGCTCATCTCGCTCAAATGTTTTGCGGTAAAATGTTTTAATGTCGGCTGTGACATTTCTTCGTGGAAGTGCATGGGGTTACTCGCGTTAGCATCCCTTTCTGTCGGATGGTTTAAGAGTCAAAAAGTTATAGACATTCACTTACTTTTTTGTATATGGATAAATTATTTTTATTCCCATAGTAAAATCCATCCTTATAGCCGTAATATTCATGAAGTAGAATCGATAACATTTCAATACGTGATGTAATTTTTTTATGTGCATTCATTAGTTTGATAAAAAGTAAAAAGTTGCCAGTTTTCCCTTTTAAATGGAGAAAGAAAGACTAGACCCTGGTATATTTGAAGACATGGTTTAATAATAGTTAAAAAAACAATGTTTGGTAATGTGCGTTTATTTAACATCAGTTGGAATAAGTTTTGTGTAGATTAAATGTAAGTTAAAATAATTTTTTTTACTAACTGCGTTTCATATCTCTCAGTCATATGGTGAAGGAGTCTATAGAGGACAGACATTCATTTTTATGTATATAGATAAATAATTTTCATACTAATAGTTAGACCATATGGAAATCACCGTAATATATATTAATAGAGAGGATAATTGATAACATTTCAATTCGTGTTGTAATTATAGAATGTAAAAAAAATATCCTGACACGTTTCTGAATGTAAGGGGCAACTACGGGGCATGTAGTTTTCAAAAACGTTTCTTGATATTTCTGACACCCTTTGGTGAAGATAGACTACCAACAATGTCAACCATCATCCATCAAAAGATATTTCAAGATCGAATCAAAGTTAACGTGTTTTATATGCTAACGAATTGGAATTAAATAATAACAGGCGCAGTTACGCTGCATTACTACCCCGGCAGAATTGTATCCGTGATAGAATTTAATAAATGGATATCACAAGTAGAATCATTGCTGTTTTGCTAGACACCGGGAGAGCTGCATTAAGATCACTTGGCTCTAAGTGCTGGTCTTGAGAGCTTTACTGGGATCAATGTTATGGGAGTCGTCACTAGTGCGTTGCAATTAGCAATCGAGTGTGTACAGACCCTTGTTATGTGTAGTTGAGATTGAGTAGCAACAATGTGAGGTGCATAATGTATCAGTCACAAATAGCAAGTCAACTCTTCAATGTGAACCGTCCATTGAACTAGGTGTGTTTAAATCGAAGTGGGCATGCAGGTAGGTGTGCTCAGATCATGTCCACAAGTCACACATGTGGGGCTAGGCTACCGACAATGTCAACCGTCATCTATCAAAAGGTACTTCCTAATAGCGTCAGCTAGTAACAATGTTTGGCCTGGTTGTCTAAAGCCGCTGTGGTCCTTTTTCCCATTCATCATGACCTGACAGGACTCGAGGTGCTTGTGGTCTTGGTGTGCTAGAAATAAAAGTAAGAAATTAATATGTGGTTGGAGGAGCGCAGCATTACCCACGCCTCACTGCAAACAGACACTCGTTCATAGAGTGCGCTACATTTACACAGCGTAGATCAACACACAGAGAAAAACATCTATGCCCTGGAGAGGGATTCCAACCCGCAACCACTGACTTCGCAGTCAAGCACGCTCACCACTAGGCAACCCGGCTGGCCTCCTGATAGAATCAAGTGTCCTGATGTCTCTTATGCTGGTGAATTGGAATTTAGTTGCAGTGGTAGCTATGCAATTCTCCGAAACTGAATCCGGGTCAAAGTGATTCAGTTTCCTGCATTTGAAGAATAAAAGAAATGCTTCTCCATGAATAGGAAACATGGAAACGAAATCTCTTAACTAAATTTAACGAAATTAAACTAAAAGCTCTGAGATTTTCGAAAACATTTCTGTCAAGTCGAAATTATTTTCTGAAATTTCTTACAGTGTATCAATGCATTCTTTGTTGATTAAGTACAACCTTAACTAACTACTAAATACATTTCAATTCTTCAATTTCTTTTTCTTAATTCATGCGCAGTTAGGTTTAGAAAAAATGCGTAAGTACCAAATTTCTAGAATAGTTTGAAAACGTGTCAGGCTCGGGGGAACCTAACTTAAAGAAACAGAAGATACAGTGTGCAAAATAAAAGGAAAAAAGTCATCATCCTGTGCACATACAAAATGAACACGCACTAGGATTCAATCTAAATTAATCGAGTGCTTTTAATTGCTACAGACGATATTTTAATCTACGTAATCGCACACAGTTTTTTTTCTTGATATAAAAAAACTTTTTTTCGAAGGAGTAAGATTTATATCATTTATATATGATGGGATGAATCTGTGAAGAATGAGAAAAATCTGTTCCCAATAGTTTGGTTATAAGAGTGGTC